AGAATCTCATTTTAACAGATCACTCGGGCTGCCAAAAATCATCCATTGTTCTGAGAGTCTGTTATATCATAAACAACGGATTTCCTGCACACCCAGAAAATATCCATTTTTTAACCCCTATATATATATATATATATATATATATTTCTTATTTATTTTTTCTAGTGATTGGTGAAAAATATACTAAGTAATCTTTCTACAGTTAATATACTGAAAATAAAGTTTGGTTGTTAAAGCTTCTGCCAGAAATTTTAAAGTTAAATATTTAATCACCAGAAGAAATAAACACAAAAATTCAAGTTGTATGGATGTTAAAGTAATAGTAAAAAACAGTTAACCAACTCCAATATTAAAATATCTAAGAAGCTTGCTTTACTTAACCAGTTTCTTAGATATTTTAACACTGGAGTTGAACACAAGTTGAAGATGGATGTTTTCAGTCTATGATTTTAATTCTAAGTGAGAACACTCATTTCTAAAATTCATACAATTCCAAAACAGATAATCATAAGTAAATAATTTCAGATATTAATGATTTTAATTTAAAAAAAAATTCAAATAAAATTATTATTAATATAAATAAATATAAAATTAGTTATTAAATTTATTTTAATTTTTAAACAATTATATCTAGTACATACAGAACCATTTGAGCTGTAGAATAAATTTCAGCTTTATATTCATTTAATTATTTCTTGCTTTATATTTATTTATGCTAAGTGTTTTATTTAAATTTTTAAATTAAAATTTTGTACTTAAAATCATCCAAATTCATACAAATGTGATTATTTGTTTTTGGTTATTATGCATTCTAAAGATGCAAGATCTCACTTACAGGACAGAATTTTAAATAAATTTTCAAGCTCATTAAACAGTATCTTAGATACTTCTCTGTTCATATTTGTTTTATTTCAAAAAGTTCTTACTATAAAATTTCTACTAAAAACATCAGGAATTCTGTAAGCTCACCTTCACTAATAACTTTACAATAATATTACTTATAAATTTTTTTAATTTTAGTAAATAGTCATCAAAAGAAAATATTTTTGAAACTTTTTGACTGATTTTATTTATTTGTATAAAAGACTTTGCAACAACTTTTATCTGTGTTAAATTTTTAATTATGTTATTTAGATCAGAAAATACAAAAATAAATTTTTTTGTTTGGAAGCACTTACTTGTATAACTTGATGAATCATACTTGCAACTTTATTCATTAATGCTGTTAATCTATGTGCTCTCTCATTAGGTGTTGTTTCTGGACGAAAATGAGTTGATGCTCTGTAACGAGCTGCCATATACAATGTATATGTAGGAGCTAATTTAAACTGTACTTGACTTGGATCTAATTGAGTTATTGTTGCATTCAAGAATTTGTCTTCACCTATTAAAACAAAGTAAATAAATAACTGTATAAAGGCTAAATAATGAATATTTTCTTTGTAAATTACAAAAAATGTTCAAGCTTAATATGAACTTAAAAAGAATAAGAAGATAAATAAAATTAAGTAAAAATATTAAATTCTAGTATAATAATAGAAAAAAGATGAAAAAAAATAGAAATTTAATACATACAAATAATTAGAAATAGCAAAATAATTGTCTAATTTATTAAAAACAAACACTAGTGACTAAGTCTTTCCTTGCAATCTACAAATTCAACTCTGAATTCAAAATAAACAATATATATATATATATAATTGTAAAATGAATAATAATGAGATAATTCAATAGTGGACTATAGAACATCATAATTATAAAATGTAAAAACTTTGAAATTTCCAGAGGTACAGTCTGAAGTCTGTTTTGGTTAATCAATTCTTTACATAATCAATGCTCTACTGTGCAGCATCATTTTTTCCCCATTTATTTCAGACAATTTTAAGAAACCTCTACAGTATAAAAATTAATTATATATCTGAAATCTAGTAATTCTTTCATAAACATTACATACAACATTTTCTAAACAGTTACTAGATTTTAGATATTACATTTGAAGTGTTAAATATGTGTACAAACTAATAACTTTTAATAATAAAATTTTCCATATTTCTGATAGAAATAAATTTTTCTGTGTTTTATTCACATTTAAAATATATATTATCAAAAGAAAACTGATAAGCTTGTAACCCATTTGTTCTTATAATAATATATTTCAAAACTTTGGAAATATTAAACTGATGATTGGCATAAATTTAAAGTTTGACTTTATTCTTGTGAAAAATTTTAGATATTTATCACATAGTAATTTCAATAAATCCTACAATGTTACAGAGAATAACATTATCATCATCAACACAAAATTTAGTATTAATATGATAATTCAACTTCTAGTCAAATAGTAAACTTATTATAAAGCTAAATTCTAAAGATTAATGAATAATAGTTAAATACATTTTTTAAACAAATTNGTAATTCTTTCATAAACATTACATACAACATTTTCTAAACAGTTACTAGATTTTAGATATTACATTTGAAGTGTTAAATATGTGTACAAACCATAATAACTTTTAATAATAAAATTTTCCATATTTCTGATAGAAATAAATTTCTGTGTTTCTTATTCATTTAAAATATATATTATCAAAAGAAAACTGATAAGCTTGTAACCCATTTGTTCTTATAATAATATATTTCAAAACTTTGGAAATATTAAACTGATGATTGGCATAAATTTAAAGTTTGACTTTATTCTTGTGAAAAATTTTAGATATTTATCACATAGTAATTTCAATAAATCCTACAATGTTACAGAGAATAACATTATCATCATCAACACAAAATTTAGTATTAATATGATAATTCAACTTCTAGTCAAATAGTAAACTTATTATAAAGCTAAATTCTAAAGATTAATGAATAATAGTTAAATACATTTTTTAAACAAATTTCTTGTATTATTTAAATGTAAAAAATTACAATGGAGAAAATTTTTTCAGATCGTTTAGATATATGAAAATTAGAAGTTAAACTTTTAAATACTTAATATCATCTAATATATTATATTACCTGGTCCAATAAAAAATAAAGTGAATGTAGACAAAGATTATCGCATTAAATTTCAATGCAATTAAATTAAATATTTATGATGTAATTTACAAAATATAATTCTAAATAATATTATATATTTAAATAAATGTAGTAATACCTTCTTCCCAAAATTCTAATACAGCAGGTAAAATAGGATCGTTACCACGACGCTGATCATATTTTTCAAAACTACCATGACCATGAGTGCTATCTCTTCCAACTGAACGATGAGAATGAACATCATCAGATTTCCTGGACATGTGCTCTTCTCTTGAATGAGTTGATACAGTTTCAACATTGCCATCAGCATCAAATGTTGTCTCGTAACCACCATGGTGAATAGATAACTGGTCTTCTTTCCTTGAATTTCTAAAATATATTAACAAAAGTTATAGTCCAATATATTTATTCATTACAAAAATTTTATGAAAATAAGATATGTAACTTGTAAATGTAACTTTGATAAATATATCAAAGTTACATTTACAAGTTACAATTTTATCATTGGCAAATTACCTTTCAAGATAATCTGTTGATTGGCGCAAATCTGGTGTTGCACCTCTTTTCTGAAAACAAGCATAATATGAAAAATTCATAAATTAAATATGATTAATCAAAATTTGGGAATAAATTTGTTTGGATTACTGATATAATTAATAACTTTTTATTATTTATCTATTTAATTATTTATATGCTGGGTTTATTTGGGTAATTAAATTTAATTATTTTTTTGACTTGGTCACTGACCTGATCATGCACGGGATCAATAAATCGAAAAGTATGAAGTTTTCCAAAACGAACAATCATGCCATGCTGAAGAATAGTAGTTTCATATATTCGTGCTCCATTTACATAGGTTTCTGCATCTCTACTACTTGGAGTAACAGTTATAATGCTTTCAGTATGAGCTATGACACAATGTCTTGGTTGAACATTTGGTCCAAACAACTGCTCGAACATGAGTATTTATATTTCAATTTCATGCAAGGGTATCATTAATTAAACCATTATAATTAATTACCAAGTTAGTAAGTTGAGAAAATCAATTATGTTAAAAAGAATAAAAGTTATATCCTTAAAATATTTAATAATAAATTAATTTTAAAACATACTTGTAAACATTGACCTCCAGTAGAACTTGATCTTTCACTTCCTACTTCAGTAACATTTAAATATAATCTGTGTTTCTTTGGTGCACCATGAATTTCACTACCATCTAAAATTAATTTGTTTTTTAATTTGTATTTTATTTATAATAAAATTTTATTTTTAAACTTTCCAAATTTTTGTAAAAATTATAAAAAGTATATAAATCAATTTTTACCTGGATTTAACTCTAACAAATATGGCAGCCTCTCTAAGGAATCTTCATATTTATATCCATCCATTTCTCCTTTGGAGGGTTTTGGTTTTTTTTTCCTTTTACGTGGTTGATAATCAGCAGGTTTCCTTTTTACATGAAATATCAATATACCTAAATAAAACGAAGACAATTTAAGTCAAAATTAATGTAAAGAATATATTACTAATGTTTTTTACAGATAAGTACAAAACTTATAATTTATTATCTCTAAATATATTGAATATTTAATTTAATAATATAAAACTAATGATCTATCATATGCTATTTTTTTAGATCTATTATATATTCAGTTTGTAAAGTTGGTAAACTAAACATTTCCTTGTCAATTTTTATTTAGCTATAATTTTTAACAGAATAAATACATTTTAAAAAATGCTAAATTTCAGGAAATATAAATCAAAGGCAAAGTCTAAAGCAGAAGTCATAATAGTCAAACTAAAATTTTTCAAAATTCTCATTAATAAAGTTTTAATTATTGTAATAATCTGTTGTTCAAAATTTATTTACATACAAGTATGATCTTAACTATAAAGACAAATTGTTGAAAATATTCAAAATCATCTTATACTATCTTAGTAGCAGTGTGTGATTTGTAAAATTTCTGGATGATGATGATGATCACTGAGTTTATGTATGCTAGGCCTACAATAGTATCTCATTTTACTATTAGGAAGTGGAAATGAGTGTTACAAAGATCATGGTAATAGAACTTTTGTTTACTACTGGTATAGGAAACAAATTGCAGATAGCTTGTATGTATTGTAACAATTTTATGAATCACTTTAAAACATGCATGGAACATCAAAAAGACACATTAACTGATTCTCCATTCGGTTTCAAGTTCAAAAAGAGATCTAGGTATATTTATCCTAAACATTGGCAGTTATAATAATCATTACTGCTGGATAGTAATATTTAAGAATGTTTAATGATAGCAGTAGGAACACAAACAAAACAAATGAAAAATGCACTATTGAAAAACAAAATAATATGATTGCTGACTATATGTATTCTTAGTGCATTGGAAAAATTTGTAGAATTTACACATCAAAAATAATGAGACTACAAAGTTATGCTTATAAAATCAAACTTGTAGTTTTACAAAATTATAAAATTTTCAAACACCTACAAGTTTTATAAGAGGAGGAAAGAAGCTATCCCTGGTTTGAGATACTTTCATTTCTATGGGATTGGGGATACAAAAGGCAGAAAGGGATTATCTTCTCATCCTCCTTCAATTGCACTCTGCTTATTAGTGAAAATAATTTTTTTCTTAATTAATATCAGTTATGTTAAATCATAATGTCCTTATTTTAAAATTCATAATTTTAATAGAATAAATATATATCACAATAATAATTTAATTTTTTATCCTGCATTCATGAATTATTAATTTCAAAAATTCAGTTCACAAACAATGAATAAAATTATAATCAACGAATTTAATTTTTCTCCCCTTATGACTAAATACTTGTTCAGAAACCTCTTATAACTTCTTAAATAAAAAATATTTTATACTTACTTTCTGATCATATTCTATATCAAAACATTTACCTTTGGATCTATTGTGTTGACGTTCAATGGCTAAAGGACAATCATCATCATCCAAAATATATTCTCTAACTCCAGGTATATTACTATGATATTCTTGTAAATCTCCATCTATACCAACAGATGATGTAGGAACAATAGCTTGCACCAAGCAATACTGAACAGGATCTTCTTTATCATGTCCATATTTTTCCAAAATTTCCTTTACCACATAAGCAGCTGTATCTTTTGTTGATAATAACAATGTTTTATATGGGACATCTTTATTCAAATTCTCTCCAAAAATCCTTAAAGTACCCCCTAAAATAATAAATTTTTAAATTTTGTATAAAATCAAGTCAAGTCAAAGGAATATTATGATAAATGTTGTAGAAGATAAAACAGAATTTAATTTCTATACTAAAAATTCTACTTAATTATTATTTAATATTATAAATATTAAAATNATCAAGTTGCTGAAATGTCCAACTTCAATAAACTGAAATCATTAAATTTTCATTGGAAATAACCCTAATAACCTAATAAAAATATATTGATATAAACAGCTGTAAAATCAGCTCGTATCATTTTATTTCTTGAATTCATAAAATGAAATAAAATGTATTATTTAATTTTCCCCATGCCATTATATTTAAGAATGCAATTTAGAATTATCACTTTGAAAATTAATAATCAGGATGCAATTTTGAGACAGTAGTTAAAGTGAATTAAATCAACATCTTTAAACTTAGTTCAGTAAAAATAAAAAGAAAATAATGTAACTAACTAAAATACATAACTTTAATTATAATTATATTAGTTATATAACTATAAATATAATTATAATTAAACTTACATAAAAAAGATTGTAAAACAGAATGAGAAAGTTTAACTTAGTAAAAAAGTCCCTATCTCAGATTCGTTAAGAGGAAAAAAATGAAACTTTATAAATGTAACAAAAAATACAAAAAATTTCTCTGTGCTTGTCATCTGGTATTATAGAATGTAAAGGAATATCATTCAGTTTCTTCATGAATGTAATGAATTGTCTCTGTTCATCTTTTTGGATTTTTGCTCTTTCTTTTTAGAAAGAGTAATAAACAAAAAATATTGATTAATATTGAATTTAATTGATAATGATTGAAATTAATATTAATAATGTTTAAATAATTTTTATGATCTGGCTAATTTTATAATTTCATATCTTTGTAAAAAATTGACAGCTGCTGAAAATATTTTCATAAATTTAAACCTGAAAACTTTAGACTGAAACTCTAATATTCTTTCAATAGTAAAGTAAAAGTAGAATTCAATTTAAGAAACTTAATTTAATATTTTTTAATATCATAACATGACTATGTAAATAAAAATTCTTAATATGTCTTTACATACAACTAAATTATGTTTAGCAAATATCTTTATTTTTTATTAATAAAAAAAGAATCATTTGCAAGCTCTATTACTAATTTTAAAACAGTATAAAAAGCAATAATGTAACATATATCTGATATATGTTAATAATATACTGATATATAATAATATACTAATGAAAAATTAGCTTAGCTAAAATGAGAGCATTATGTTTAAACAAAATTAATCTAAAAAAATTTTAAACATACATTAGACACAAATAATTTCAAAATATTAAGACAACTATTAAAAATATTTTAATTATGTAAATTATGTATTTCTGAATAATTACATCATACTCAATATGTTAAAAACTAATCAACAGTGAATAATTGACAGGCTTTGTGAAAATCAGTCTATCCCATATTAGGATGCTTTCATAAAAAAAGAAAGGAATTTTGTGTTTCAATACACAATTATTTTAATATGTAATGTTTTATTAATTTGGCTAAACAACTGAACTGTGAAAATTTCTTAGAAGACAGATCAGTGATGCACAAATCCAAATTTGTTAATGACTCTTTTTTTATTAGTTTTATGGAAATGACATTTCTCTATTAAGCTTCTAAATTGAAATTAGAATTTCACAATTTTAGATGTATATTACACACACTATTTTTCTAAATTATATTAATTAAATTATATATATAAAAAACTTTTTTCACAATATTATGTTATTTAAATAAATATACATTAAACTGCTTGGTTCTGATATCCAACAAATGTTTATTAACTTACTTAAAAAATGTTTATTATTAGTTACTAGAAGCAAGCAGTTTAATATGTAATTACTACAATGATGGTGCCATGTTTTATACATTTTTATAAAAATACTGTTTAAAAATATCTTTTGATTTTTAAATTTATTTACTAATATTTTAATAATTACTTTTTTATTTAAAAATTATATTAAAAATTTTGAAATTAGTGAAAATATTTTATCTATTAGTAAGAATTAATAAATTTAAAAATTAGAAATAAGATTTTAAATTATTTTGTTATTAAATCTTTATATATTTTTCAAATAATTAAATACTACATTGTATTTCATAAATAATGTAACTAACCAGCTTCTGTGCCACCTTCTTGTCTAAATTGTTGCAACCTTTTTTCAAGCTTTTGCTGTCTTCGTCTCCTCATAACAGCTTCTGGATTTGAAATTGATCGTGTGAAACTTGTTTCTGGTAGTTCTGAATACAAACGTTCAGCAATTCCATCTTTTTTCTCATCTGATGCCTGAATATATATTTAAATATTTTTATAATATATTAGTTTTGTTCATTTATAATAAGTACACAATAAAATTTAACATATAGCCTACTTACTATAAAACCCAAAAATATTTATTTAATAAATTAATATTTTTATCAATAATTTCATATTTAAATTAAATTCATTTCTACAGCAATTATTTCAATTATTTAATCATCACTGAACTGAATTAATGTTAACTAATAAACTTAATAAAATTTAATTAGTGGCATAAAATAAAATTGTCAAGAAATAGAAGTTAGTCATTACATTAGTCATTTTGCTAATTAACATCTGAAATAGCTAAAGTTAAAAAGAAAAAACGTAATGCACAGTTCATATAATTATAACTAAGTGAAATAATACTCTAAAGTTTTAATATATAAAGGTTCATCTTTAAAAGGTTATTTTATCAACAACAATAATTTTTATTGATGTTTTATTTACTCTAAGAATTGCATGTTTAAGTTTACTAATTTTTGTCAAAAAATATATAGTTTTATTGGTTAACTTTAAACTTTTAATTAACAATTAACTTTTTAAATTCATATTGAAATATTAATTCAATTGAACTGTTGATTTGTATGAGTTATGCAAAGAAGACCCATAAAGGGGTCAAAAATGTTTGTATTGTAGAGAAATAAATACTGGGCTTACAAAAAGATGTTTAACTTTTCAGTTATTTCATTTTCTCAGTCTTAAGTTTATATGTTATTTAAAGGATATTAATAACCTTTAAATAACATATTTATATAATTTATTATAGAAATAATTATAGAAAGTTGCTTTATTAAAGCAAAAATTATACAAAAAATTCCAAATAATTTCATGCCTAGAGATTCATCTTCAAGGAACACAGTCTAAAAATAAAACATTGTAATGCCTACACTGGTCCTGTGAAGTCAGTCAGTCTGATTTGTCAGCTCTGTGGGTGTTTGACTTCACTGAGCTGATGTAGGCATTAATATGCTTTAATTTTAGATTGCATTCCTTAAAGTACCTAATGGCTTTAAAATGTTAGAGATTTATTTATAGCTTTGTATTAATAAAATAAAAACTTTAAATTTATTGAATTACTTATAAAATATCTTAGTTCAAAACATTATATACCTTTAATTTTTCTTTCTTTTCACGTTTTTTCTTTTCTTTTTTCTCTCGTTTTGAAAGCTTTCTTTTAAAACTATTTCCTTCAGGAATGCTTGGTAACTAATCAAATAAAATTAATACAATTAATAACATATTTAAAATATACATACTGTAATTTCTCCTTACAATAAACTTAATTTATTGAAACTGAATTATACCTATCTAAAGTTAAAAATGTTCAAAAATAATATATCTGAAATATACTAGATAAATCATCTTCGATTATTGTTATCTGATTTAGGCCCACTTATAATTAAATTTTTTATTTTCAATTCAATTAATTTATTTACAAATTTATAATATTCATATTTTATAATTTTNTCTATTAGTAAGAATTAATAAATTTAAAAATTAGAAATAAGATTTTAAATTATTTTGTTATTAAATCTTTATATATTTTTCAAATAATTAAATACTACATTGTATTTCATAAATAATGTAACTAACCAGCTTCTGTGCCACCTTCTTGTCTAAATTGTTGCAACCTTTTTTCAAGCTTTTGCTGTCTTCGTCTCCTCATAACAGCTTCTGGATTTGAAATTGATCGTGTGAAACTTGTTTCTGGTAGTTCTGAATACAAACGTTCAGCAATTCCATCTTTTTTCTCATCTGATGCCTGAATATATATTTAAATATTTTTATAATATATTAGTTTTGTTCATTTATAATAAGTACACAATAAAATTTAACATATAGCCTACTTACTATAAAACCCAAAAATATTTATTTAATAAATTAATATTTTTATCAATAATTTCATATTTAAATTAAATTCATTTCTACAGCAATTATTTCAATTATTTAATCATCACTGAACTGAATTAATGTTAACTAATAAACTTAATAAAATTTAATTAGTGGCATAAAATAAAATTGTCAAGAAATAGAAGTTAGTCATTACATTAGTCATTTTGCTAATTAACATCTGAAATAGCTAAAGTTAAAAAGAAAAAACGTAATGCACAGTTCATATAATTATAACTAAGTGAAATAATACTCTAAAGTTTTAATATATAAAGGTTCATCTTTAAAGGGTTATTTTATCAACAACAATAATTTTTATTGATGTTTTATTTACTCTAAGAATTGCATGTTTAAGTTTACTAATTTTTGTCAAAAAATATATAGTTTTATTGGTTAACTTTAAACTTTTAATTAACAATTAACTTTTTAAATTCATATTGAAATATTAATTCAATTGAACTGTTGATTTGTATGAGTTATGCAAAGAAGACCCATAAAGGGGTCAAAAATGTTTGTATTGTAGAGAAATAAATACTGGGCTTACAAAAAGATGTTTAACTTTTCAGTTATTTCATTTTCTCAGTCTTAAGTTTATATGTTATTTAAAGGATATTAATAACCTTTAAATAACATATTTATATAATTTATTATAGAAATAATTATAGAAAGTTGCTTTATTAAAGCAAAAATTATACAAAAAATTCCAAATAATTTCATGCCTAGAGATTCATCTTCAAGGAACACAGTCTAAAAATAAAACATTGTAATGCCTACACTGGTCCTGTGAAGTCAGTCAGTCTGATTTGTCAGCTCTGTGGGTGTTTGACTTCACTGAGCTGATGTAGGCATTAATATGCTTTAATTTTAGATTGCATTCCTTAAAGTACCTAATGGCTTTAAAATGTTAGAGATTTATTTATAGCTTTGTATTAATAAAATAAAAACTTTAAATTTATTGAATTACTTATAAAATATCTTAGTTCAAAACATTATATACCTTTAATTTTTCTTTCTTTTCACGTTTTTTCTTTTCTTTTTTCTCTCGTTTTGAAAGCTTTCTTTTAAAACTATTTCCTTCAGGAATGCTTGGTAACTAATCAAATAAAATTAATACAATTAATAACATATTTAAAATATACATACTGTAATTTCTCCTTACAATAAACTTAATTTATTGAAACTGAATTATACCTATCTAAAGTTAAAAATGTTCAAAAATAATATATCTGAAATATACTAGATAAATCATCTTCGATTATTGTTATCTGATTTAGGCCCACTTATAATTAAATTTTTTATTTTCAATTCAATTAATTTATTTACAAATTTATAATATTCATATTTTATAATTTTTAATGTTACATGGATTCTAGCAGAGGTTTTTTAAGATCCATCTTACAAAACAAATGCTCTCAATTTATTCTCAATAGTTTTAAATTCTATAATCTAATATAATATAATGTATTCAAATAATATATGAATAAAATATTATATTCTAGTAACACTAAGTTATTTATCTGATAAAAATGCCAAAATACTGTATTGTTTAAAAAAGAACACAATGAACACTGTTCTTACAAGGTTTTCTTTTGACATATTATTACTCAAGTGTCATTATTAAGCTCAAAAGAAAATTCTTCTTCTAATTAACAAGACAATTAATCCTAAAATAAATGATTCCATTAGCAAAGATCAGTCAGCCTTTATAACTGTATAAGCTATTTTATTTTTTATTAATGTATTAATGTAAAGTATAGTAGTTTATAAACATTTTAAGTAAAAAAAATTCTCTTGCTTTTTAATGAAGTATGTAAATTTGATATCTTTCATTATGAACTGAGTTAAGTGCCTAACATAATTTATCCTATATTAAAGTATTTTGGAGTCTACAAATTGTCAACAGAAAAGAAGACAATTATCCACTGTATCTTGTCCATATCTCACCAATTGTTTTCAAAGCCTAAATCCTCAATGTAAAACAGTAAAACAAACTGACATTAATAATAATATGAATTGATAATTTATTCACATTTCTTTAATTTCTTATTTAAAAAACCATCAAAATATTAAAAAAATTCTATTTGTTTTTCTAAAAGAACAAAAAGGATAATCTGCAATTCATTCAATTTTTTTAATGAATTTGTATGTAATTACATTTAAACCTAAATGATATAACTGTAAAACACAACAAATTACATTTACACCCAGTACAGTTTGATATGAATACTAATAGCTGAATATTTGTATTACAAAAAATAAATATTAAAAATTCTAGATGATAAATTCAATTATTTTGGAAAATACATGCAGAAAAAGTAAATAAAAGTATTAAAACTTATCAAAATTTTAACTAAAAAAAGCTACAGAAATCATAAGCTAGATTTATGTTTCTGACAAGCCTCAGGTGCTCCTTGGAAGTCAGTTTCAAAAGTTCCAAAACACCTGTTGCATTTCAGCAGACATTTTGATCTCTTTGGTATCAAAACATCATCTGTTGTGACTTCTTTTTGTTTTCCATCTCACAGAGTAAAATTGAAGTCACAAGAGGCTAAAACCGGCAAATAAGGAGGACGGGAACAGTCATATTATTTTTTTTTACAAAAGTGACTTGCATTTTGAAAACTGTGTGTGCAAGAGCATTGTCATTATGGAGGAATCAGGTTTAGTTGCACCACACTTCTGGTCTTTCATAATTAATATCTTCATTCAATTGAATCAAAATGTTGCAGTAAAAGTCAAATTGACTGACTATGAGGAATAAATTCCTCATACACATCTCCTTGTGGTTGGGAAAGAAAAACAATTAACACACTCTTTGTTACACTGTCTTATCTTGTTCTCCTGACTTGTCTTGTTGTCATGGGTCTTGCAGATTGTGGTCTCATCCATGGTTTAGTTGTCACAGGCTTCCAAAGCATTTCAAGAATCTCTTTGTACATTTCTCAAGTTTAGTGCAAAATCTAGCATTTGCTCTTTGTTGTGTTAGTGTTGGGCTATATAATTCAAGTTTGTTCTTGAATCATAACACAACACTAACATAACATTACAAAATCATGTTTAACAAGCATTCTAGTTTGAAAAATGCAACACCAGTTGGCAGACTGACACTCAAATGTCTAAGACAGAGATCCCTGGTGGAAAAAAAACTGTATTTTTGTATTATCACCAAGCAACAAAAACATTCTGATTTCGTTTTGATTGCAACACATAATATCTTTAAGTAGTTTTTTCTTATGTTGACTTAATAAATTTCTATTTACTATATGTTAAATTATTAAATAAATGTGATAAACTATAATTCACATTAATTAAAATACATGATCACACATTTATAATTCATATAATACATTTTTCCATGATTTTTATTCTTAAAAACATGCTAGATTTGATATGAAAAATATTTTAAATTTCTTTACTAAAGGTACAGTTTTCTTGACTTAATCTGTTATTAAATTTCTAACTCTTAATCTATAGATAAAACTGAATTTTATCTATAGACTAATTACATTTACAGATAAGATTAGTTTATAGATGTAATCAGTCTTTTTATAATAAAGTATACTTATCTACCTTTAAAATCTTTCTAAGGTCAGTAAATACATCTTTGCATTTTAATTTTTATATTTTACTTACATATTTAGTATTTAGTTTTGAAATCTGATGATATCTGGTTAAATTACTTTTAATAATACAAAACTTTTAATTACTTTGTCTTAATTAATACTTTTAAAATTCTATATAATAGAAATTAATTAATATATTTTTTAAATACTTACATAAGATTTTTCATCCATACGACGTAATAAAAATCGTCCTTCCCTATCATCTTTATGCCAGTTTAATTGGACTAAGAGAGGTTTTTCTTCTTCACCCAACTTTCTTTCATCTAAAAATAATTACTTATATTTATAATTACTGTTAAAAATTAAAATAAACTAAAAGTGAGTACTATAAGATATAATGTATGTAAATGATTAAATCTTGTATACAAACTGGGCATTTATTTTTAAAAATTCTACATATAAAAGTAAATTTTTAAATATTGATTTATATTTAGAATAAAAATTCTAATTATTATATTATTTTAATTTATACTATATATATTGTACAGTACAATACAAAACTGAAAATTATTTCAATTATTAACCATTACATTTTTTTCCAAATTGCTTTCAATCACTGCTAGATCTTTGTTTTGATCTCTGAAATGTTCAAACTGATACAGAGCTTACATATTGATGTATTTGTAATCCTTAATTATAAATTAATTATAAACTCAAATATTGTTTCAGTTTTAACTTTGAATAAACACTACATAGTTAATTTCTACAAAACAATAGCTATGCTTTTGCATCCAATCAATATATAAGGATCCACAGTGACTAATAAAAGAAATTACCAAACTTTAAACATTAAAAATACAGAATTTTGAAATTTTGAAATTACACTTTCAGTTATTATTTGTGAGAAATTTAAAATCAAATTTGTCAAATAATTTTAAAAAAATCTCCTCTCTACTGCATATAAAATAAGACAGTCAACATCAATTTTATTAAGAAAGTAAAAGAAATATATAGCAACAACAATAGGAAAAAGAATATATTCCATATTTTAGTTTCTGATACTTAACTAAAGGTAAAATCTTGATTATACAAGCTATGACAATAAAAAATTCACATTGAGGAGTTTACGACTATTGAAAAACAACTGTAACTTTTCAATGAATTTGATTAATAAATTTTCATAATTTTTTGTCAAAAATTTTGAAAATTTTAATCAATATTATCATCAATATAATTCAGCATTTATAACAACAAAGTTTATACATAAAAAAATTATATATAATAATTCTATCTAAAAATAATTTGGTTTTTTAGATACTACTAATTTAATTGATTAAATTATAGTTACAATTAACCTATATGATTATATGACCTAAATTAATATAGATACAAAAGCAAAGATTTAATAGAAGTTCAGGAGAATAACTGGTAATGTATCTCTGTGGTAAGAAGAAGTTGTAGGTTTGAGTCCCACTTCATATCAATCTTATAAAATTTTTCTAAATTATATAATTAAAGTCAGAATTAATTTCTAATAATTATCTTAATGTGAGACAGAGACATAGCTGCCTACTTTTAGATCAAATTCAAGAATTAAAAAGCTTAATTTTAGCCTGCAAAAAAGTCTGGCTTTCAGATACACTATTGGCTATCAAATAAAGTTTTAGGCATATTGTATATTATATATGTCATCTTATAATAATAATAATAATAATAATAATCAAGTAGCAAATATAATACACCAAGAACCTGCAAATAAACACAAATTATTAGGCATCCACAAACAATACTACAAATACATTCCACAGACAGTATTGGAAAATAACATGCACAAAATGTACTATGACAGAGCCATAATCACAGATAAAACAATTTACCACAACAGACCAGACATAACACTCATTGATAAACACAATAAAATCACATACATTATAGACATATCCATTCCAAACACTCACAACATATAAAACACATGCACTGAAAAAGTCAGTAAGTACACAGAACTTGCCCAGGAAATAAGGCATGTTTGGAGGATGGATAGGGTTCTTATTATACCTGTCATTCTTTCCTCTACAGGTGTCATACCCCACACACTATACAAAAGCCTGGGCACATTACAATTGAATAGAAACATATACATCACAGTACAGAAGGCCACTATATTGAATACATGCCACATTGTTAGGAAATTCCTGAATACAGACACTGACACACTTATTTAATTTTAGTTTTTGTTTGCTATGCCTTGACTCTAGTCCAGCATATTACACAGCCACCAGTATCAACCGAGTATAACCCACTAAATACTGTATAATAATAATAATAATTCCTCTCTCACAACTCACTTTCATCTTGTTGGGGTGAGAGAGCCAAAAAGTTGTTGATCAGAAAAGAACAATTATGCACAGCAAACTTATTCCATAAGCAATGCTTGAACATATCAAACAAGTTACCAGACATTCACTGGCAGTACCTCAACAGCAGACACTCATGAAAACAACTACTTATCAAACCTATCATGCAATCACAGCATAATGGCATCAGACTGCTGGATGGCCGAGCAGTCAAGATGGCAGCATACTGTTTTGGGGGACCTGGGATCAAATTCGGATGGGTTGAAAAATCCCTAGGAATTTTTTGGGGATTCATCCGACCGGATATGTCAGTTCCCGTCCCTCACCACCTGGCTGCCCCATTGTGGGCCTGGCCATAATAGCTTGCTAAAAGACACCCTCTTAGTGTCCACAGGGCAGGAAAAAAAAAAAAAATAAAATAATAATAATAATAATAATAATGGCATGCCAATATAAAAATATCTCACAGATTATTGGTCTGCTCTTTGGTCCAGTCCAGTCATACACAAAGATTAAGCAAGCTGGATCAAAGAGAAAAATAAACATACAGCAACCAACATATAGTACAAAGAACATAGATTTGGAAGACACCTGGTAGAAAACATTCAGTATTAATGGTACAAAAAATTTACATCTCTGCACCAGGAACTAGTCAAACATTTTACACGCATAATTAACAATTCACAACATATGCCAAACTTTTTTACTCAGTGTATTATATACATGAAACCCAAAAACAACATCACCAAAGAAACACAAGAAGGTTTTCATACTATGATTCAGAAGTTACCATTAATTAAATTAAATTAAAAACAACAAACATTTTAATTTCTATGAATGTTCTGAGATATTTTTCCAATTACTATTATTTAATTTTTTTTATCTATATCATCACTTATTACTTAAACATTTTGCTAAGACAATACATTTTGTTTCCATACATGTATATTGAAAACTTGAAAGAAAAGTTTTAACTTCCCTACAGTAAAATTTTTCTTTTGGGAAGCTAAAACTTTCCATTTACTAAAGAGGTAATATATAACTTTTTCCAACAAGAAAAAATTATTCTGTAATATACATTTGAAGTCACAATTATTTTGTCCCCTGAATTTCGAACTAATGAGGATTTCCTGTAATATACATTTGCATGTATATTACAGGAAATCCTCATTAGTTTGAAATTTAGGGGACAAAATACAGTAATTGCAACTTCAAAATATCAATTTTTGAATTATCCAAGATTTACACATTTCTATACAATATGCCAAATGCCATGCAACTGATGTAACTTAGTATGCAAATGGAATACGGCTAGATATACAGAATGCTACTTTCTTTAATTAATAATTATTAATAATATTATAAATACTGTATAATCCAACATAGACAATGTTATGTACACTCTAGCACTGTACTATGAAGACCAGGCTGTGGAGTCGGTAAAAAAACACTTGACTCCGGACTCCTGATAATTTTAGTAGGCCAACTCCGACTCTGGCAAAATTAAATACAAAGTCATTTTATGGGGAGCAAAGGCACTCATAGGGGATTACCCTACTCTGAACTCAAACTCTACTCTGAACTCTAAAAGGAGCCCCAGGCAAATATGCCTGGGGCTCCTTTTAAAGTTCAGAGTAGGGTAATCCCCTATCCCCCGTATTCACCAACGCGAGTTAAACAGAGAGTTGACAAACTCGAGGTTAGATGTAACTCGAAGTCAGATTACGAGTTACTCTTCTTTCGTATTCAGATAAAAATTTAACTCTAGAGTTTCGCTACCCTAGAGTTAATATTTTAAAACAATCCTGCGTTCGAGATTAAACAAGTCTTCTTTCGTAAGCAGAGTTTTGATTGGTTGAAAGCAAACACGTGTATGAACCAGGGAGGAGACGAATAGAATAGAATAGAAACACGTGTAGAAAATGGCGGAAAGTGAAATGGAAAGCAGTGCACGCCGTAATTTTTCTAATTTTGAGAAGGAAATTCTACTTGAATTAGTCGAAAAATATAAATCGATCATTGAAAACAAGAAAACAAATGCGATTTCTTCCAAACAGAAGAGAGGCACATGGGAAGAACTAACAAAGGAATTCAATGGTATCCCGGGTGTCACCCTTAGAAAAACCAAACAGTTATTGGACTGTTATAAGAATTTAAAAAAGAAAGCCGTGAAAGAACAGGCAAAAAAAAAGCCGAATTATTTAAAACAGGAGGAGGAAACCAATTCGTTCTAATAGGTTTCTTACGCTCTCTTTTGGCAAACGATATCGACATAGAAAGTCGTAATCGTCCAATTGTTCGAGGTCATTTCTTCTTGGAGAAATAATCCGCCGACTTCTTCGTTCCATACGATTTATATAATCTAGATAATTCAGATTTTCTAGCATATCGGCTTCGTCCTCATCGAATGTCGCCATTTTTCCCTGAAATAGATCGCTTTGCGCAGGCGTCAAACCTAGAGTTATCGTCTACTCGCCGATTTTCTAGAGTTAGAGTTAGAGTTAGGGTTATTGTGTTTGACTCGAGATTCGGAGTTGGTGAATACCAATTTACCAATAACTCGAGAGTTAACCCTAACTCTAACTCTAACTCGCGTTGGTGAATACGGGGGTATGAGTGCCTTTGCTCCCCATAAAATGACTTTGTATTTAATTTTGCCAGAGTCAGAGTTGGCCTACTAAAATTATTGCCCAAATACTTTTATTGTTAGTATTTTTAATATTTAACTTACATTAATATTTATTTGCATAAAAACATTAATTTTTAAAAATACAAATATTTAATAAAAGGAAAAGTGGGGAGTGATAAAATTCTACGTCTACATATCTTTATTCTACAGCTTTTGCACTTCAATTTCACCTCTCCAGAAAAGTTTGTCAAACTAAAAAGTGTGCGATCTAGCTACTTCAGCCCCTTGTTCAAAAAAGGAAAATATATACTCTGATCAATTAGTCTGGCTCTTTCAGAAA